TGTTCACTGCTTAGGTTTTTTTTTTTTTCCAGATCTCTGGTATTTCTGCTCGAGGCAGCAGCCAGAGCCATGGGCCAAGGTGCACCTTCCAGGACAGGGGCAGGAGGGTACTGGCCTCACCATGGGACAGAGAGATGCTCCTGCTCAGGTTGTCCTTGCTGTCACATTCTGGGCTGATCCTGTCACAGCTTTAGCTGCTGTTACCAAGGTGCAGCCTCTGCCCTTTGCTCCTCACACCCATGGCTGTGCTGGGCCCATCCCTGTTCTGCAGATCAGCTGTGACCACAGCCTGAGGCCCCTGGTGTCGGGCCCCCCTCATTTCAAACATCATTTATCATTAAGGATTAACCCACAGGGCACCTGAGCAGTCATATTTAACAACATAAACTGCTTCAAATCAAATGAGTTCTCCTGTGAATGTGCAGCCACACTGACCCAGCAGCTCGACACGGCTTCTTTCCAAAGCTGCATGGAAATGTCCATGACACAGGGAGTCTGTGGCCCCCAAACTGTCACATCCACACACCCCCCTGGGGAAGGCTGAGTACAGGTCTAACATCTTGGAAGTCAGCTTGTCCCCTGATGTTAGCAACCTGGGAGGGAAAGGGCAGCAGAGCTGCAACCCTGCCTGCTCTCACTGAGCTCCCACTTTGCTCTCAACGTGCCTTGCAAAAAGCTCGACTTACATTTAAAACATTTGTGGGGAAAAAAGGAGGCATTATTTTTAACTTGGGTTGCGTGGTGAGGAGCTGAGCTCTGGCTGCTGCTCCGTGGGGTCGCTCTGAAGGGCACCCAGAGGTTTCTCAGGTTTCTTGGCTGCAAAACCAGAGCTCCGTGGAAATTAACTCCGGGAGCCCGGGGCAGCAAAGGTGGCCCCGCTCAGCACGAGGTGGCCGTGGCCCTGCCAAGGGGAGAGGCTGCCCAGTGCTGCCTCCCCCAGCTCCATAAAGCCCCAGTGTGAGCCCAGGGAGCTGCTCTTGGCCCCATGAATTTGTCCTTTGTTGCTGGGTCGGTGGCTCCGGGAGCAGCTGCCTCCCCCGGGCCGGGCTGTGCCCGGGAATCCTGCCAGGGCTGCAGTGTCCCCCCCCAGCACAACGGGCTCCTTATTCCCCCCTGGGCCACTGTGACGTGCCAGGAAAGGGGTTGGCTCGTGGCCTTTGACATTGGTACCACCCAAGGAAAACACCAGGGATGCTTGAGCTGGGGCTGCTGCGGAGGAGCCACCTCGTGTCTTTGGATCTAGTGAAGGGCTGGGAGGGCCAAGGCAGCAGGACACACACCTGGGGCACCAGGACAGACACCTGGGGCTGCAGCTCCAGCTCTGTTGCTGACTTGTCCAAAACCTCTGACAAGTGATTTCCTCTTCTGCTGCTGGTGCTGCTCCCTCTGAAGTGCATCTCAGGGGACAGAGGATCCAGGACACTATGGATAATGGGGTGTCACTCACTGCTCTGGCCTCTACCTGCTGCTGAGACACAAGGCATGAGCTGAGTTTACTTGTGTGTAGGTTCTCTGCAAAATGAGGGAGAAAAGGCTGGTTTCAGTCCTGGGATGATACCCTGTTTCCCAACACTGGCATTAGCAAGTAACTGAGCCCGGTCTCTGCCAGGAGCAGCACCAGCACAGAACTGTGCCAGGGCTGCTCTGAGTTTGCAGCATGGCTAATTAGCCCTGGCATAGCCTCTAATTACCCAGTTTCTAGGGCTGGCTTAGGGCTCTGCACTGAGCTGCCCTAGGCTGGGAGCTCAGAGCCCTTCACAGCACAGGCACTTGTTGGCCAAACCTGCCCATCCCTGGCTGCAGCCCTGGGCAGGAGCCTCCAGCACAGCCCAGGCCCCCAGGGGTGCAGGCAAGGGAACCTGGCAGGGGAGCAGCTCCTGTCCCTGCTCCCAGCAGCCACCCTTGTGGAAGGGAGCTGGTTTTCCAGGTGATTGTGGGTGAAACCCTCACAGAACACCACACAGCACCTTGGCCACTGGTAATGGTCACTGATCCTTCCCTGGTAACAGATCCAAGTTAAATCCAGGGACCCCCACAGGCACCAAGCTCAGGCAAGCTCTGGTTTTACTGCTGGACATTTTCTTTTTTTTTGTGCCAGAGCTTTGCCAGGCTGCTGGGGACCTCCCAGAGAAGCTCCTCTCCTTCCTCCTGCACAGGAGGAATTCTGCTCTGAATTTGGGGTGTTCTTTGCAGGGGGTCAGGAGGCAGCCCCTGCCCCACGCCAGAGCCAGGGCACCCACCAGGGAACCAGTGTCCAGCCCAGCCTGGCAGGGAGAAGGCTCAGCACATACCTGGGCCCCTGCAAAATCAATTTTCACTCCTTCAGTACCTACTCCTGGCAAAAGAAATAAAACAATAATTAGTTTGGGTAACTTTGCAAAGGTTCACTCTGAACTTGACGTTTACTTTCTTGTGTTGCTGCTGGATGTGAGACCTCAGACATCAGCACTTGGCAACATGGGAACCAGCCCTGCAGCTCAGAGGCAGCACAAGTCCCACCTGCACCAGCAGCCCCCCTCTCTGGGGACAACACAAGGTTTCCCTCCACAGCTCCTGCTTCCCTCGAGCTTGGATCACAATCAAAACTCACAATCATGGATCTCAGGCGAGGCAGGGAGTTACCAGGCAGTGACTGTCTGATCCAACACACATCAGATGGGAAAATGGGATTTAAAACAACCTTTAGATAGCACAGAAAACAGTTAAATACATTCTGAGAAGTGTGAGAGCACAGACAGCAGTGAATCACTTCAGCTGCATCTGTGCACAGCTCGGATCACTGCAATCAGGAGCAGGATGACTTTGGGGACCATGGGGCTTCATTGAAATTGTAAACGTGTTCCTTTCCTCAGAGCAGTGTTGCTCTGCTTATTTGGATGCTGGTCAAAAGCAGAAGCCTCTGAATACATCTGGAAGGTTCTTATTTTAACCTTACTTCAGGACATTCTTCAGTAAACTCATTTTTAACCCAGTGAAACATGAAGCACCAAGTGCTTCAGGACACGTTCTGTTGGGATGTGAAACTGCATCCCCGGGCACAGCAGGGGCTGTTCTGCTCAAATCCATCGGGTTAAAAAACAACAACAACAACTGTATCCAGGGAAGAGAAGGAATTCATTGTGCAGGTGTAAGGGGAGCACCCAGGGGTCCTGAAACCGGGGTTCACCCTCCCGACTCTCTTGGCTCCCGCAGCGCGCTCCCTGCCCAGCCCCGGCTCTTTTCCCACACCACCATCTAGCGGCAAAGCCGACAGGCTGGAGATGCGCTCCCACCGCTCCTCCAGCTCTTCCTCCAGCCCTTACACCAGGTTTACTGCTCATTTTGCGACCCACAGAGCCCCCAGGCTCCGCCTGCCCCCGCCTCTGCAAACCCCTCCAGCTTCTGCAACGCGGTGCTGGGAGCAGAAGTGTCTCCCTGGGGACTGGGTGGCCTTGGGACACCCACGCTGGGATCCTGCTACAAAAAAAGCCACCAAAGAGGCTGGACTTGCCTTCACCAGCCCGACCAGTGTCACCGCGGGAAGAGCTGGGCTGGGAGAGGCAGGAGAGACACAACGTTGAGGTGGGAAAGCACCGGCAGGGCGAGCAGCCCCCTCCACACACACCCAGGGAGCCACTCTGGTGGAAAACACACTTGGGACTGAGCAGAGGACGTTGGGGGAGCTCAGGTACCACTGGGAAAGCACCGGCAGGGCGAGCAGCCCTGTCCACACACACCCAGGGAGCCACTCTGGTGGAAAACACACTTGGGACTGAGCAGAGGACGTTGGGGGAGCTCAGGTACCACACAGGACCTAGGCAATTCAGGTGAGGTTTCTGGTTTTATAGAAGAGGCATCTAGCAATCAGCAGGTACATTAAAATTACTTTATTACTAAAATATTTTTACATTTAGTAAAGATAACCAACCTGCAAATACCATGCTGCTGCTTCTCCTGAAAAAGGAAGAGCAGAGGTAGGTTGAAGACAACCAGCTAAGTAACTACATTTGTCCTAGTAGCTTGTAAGTAGGCAGATGTGTTCACATTATTGTAATCCAAATATTTTCATCCAGTCTTGTTTGGGCTGCATTTAGAAACTGGGATCTCTGTATAATTCAACAGCTGCATCAGTAACAGTTTTAGAAAAACCTATTTATAGAAACTTCTCCCCCCTGGTTTCCAATAAAACTATCCAACAGGTCCAGGAACAACTGCTCACCAGTATTACATTTAGTTTTCCCATCTGAACAACCAGCACCAGGTCTGTCCTGAGTTTTCTCCACTGTGAAGATACATTTCTCTTCTCACTTACTCAGAAGCGAAGCAGGAGCAAGTCCTCCAAGACTGCAGGAATTCCAGCAGCATCACACCCGGGATGGGATTCACTTGCACACACACAGGAGGATGGAGGCAGAGCACCCACGGGCCTCTTCATACCCTGCTTTTCTGAACGTGATGGAACCAACAGGTATTTAAAACAAAGAAACGAACCCAAAGTGAAACAAGCCCCTCCAGCTGACTGTGCAGATCAGGTAACACAGGCCAGGTGTTGTCTAAGGGTGGAAAAGCAGCTGCTTGCTTTGTAGAAACTGCTTTTAGACAGAACCAACCTGCAGCTCCACAGCCTGGGGTAGAGGTGCTGCCCCTGGGGGTCACCAGGGCCCCAGCTCTGCCAGAGCAGGGACACCAAGTACATGGGCAGCTGAACCTGAAGATCACAGTCAGACCGTGGTACAGCATCAAACCAAATTTGTACATACAAAAATAACAGTACAGAGGAAAATATTTTCAGCAGAATACAATCTTCAGACATTCAAAAGAATATACAAAAGTAATTCAAAGCAGCCACCTGCACTTCAGTGAGTGCTGGGGTCACACACATCCCACGAGGAGGGCACACGAAGGACATCCTGGGGCATCCATCAGAACAGGGTCCTGGCTCTACCAGAATGGAAGAGGAATTCACAAAACATGGATAAAAAACAAAGCCTGGAAACCATAACAAAAACACAGAAACAAAATGAAAATGTACTAAAATTTAATCATTCATAAAAGCTGTAATTTAATCTGTGACAGAAAAACACATGAAGCAATATTAGAGTTGGTTTAGTATATTATATATATTTTTTTGCTTTTAAAGCCATAGAAATCAGTTATCCCAGGTTTTTTTTCTATAAAAGACCCATTTTTCCAAAGCATTATGCACAAACATTTTTAATTAGAATATAATGGCAGAATGAAAATAATGATATTCTTTAACTTTTAAATATAAAATTAAGTCAATGACTCAACAAGTTATTTGCTGCAGTGAGTTCAGAGGGAAACCTCAGATAATATATATCTATAGTTATAGATATAAAATATAATGGTGGAACATTTTTAGTGCATGACGGGGAGAAATTATGATTAAAGGGTCCATATGAAATTTTAATTATAGTAGCAATATCTAACATTTGAAATTAATCCATGCTCCTTTGTATAATCATATACTAGAGTCAATTGTATTTATTTTCACATCTGTTAACTGCTATTGCAAAGGAGGAATACTATTATCTTAAATTTCCAAGAGATATACACAGAGCAATTTCTTTTTCCAGGGACTGTGTGCAAACCATTTTAGGATCTAAATTCTTCTCATAGGATATAAAAACAGGAGAAGCTTCTTCAGATATGTCATCAATTTCCATAAGGTTTTGAAGTCGGGAACGCTGGCACTTTCCATTTAGGCAACAGTTCTTCATTCCTGCAATCTAGAAAAAGTAAAGTAAGATGATGGGGGATGCTCCTACCAAGGAGGTGACCAATCCTGAACAAGGTCTGGAAGGTTCCCCAGACAACTGCCTGCTCCCTGGCCTGGGAAAACACCCAGCATTCCAGCAGGAAGAGCTGATCTGCCTCCAGCGCTGGGGTTTGCTCTGTGTCCTGGAGCACAGAAAGAAGAGACTTTGGAAACTACAACCCTTGAAGAGACAAGCTCCAGTTGGATGCAGCAGGGCAGTGAAAGAGGAACCACCACCCAGCTCCTCTGCCCTTGGAAAGGCTGGACAAGGGCACTAGAGCTGCACCTGCTGGTGGGACAACAGGAAACAACTCCTGATGGGGCTGAGGAATCACCAGCAGCTGGAACCTGGGGAGCCTGAGGAGGGCAGGGGCAGGGCTGGGTCCTTTTGAGACCCTCTGCTCAATTCCCTGACCACCTCCTCCTGCCTAGTGCTGAGTTGGGCCACCTGCCCCACAGGTGCTGTGCAGCCCTCCCACCAGGTCCTGGCAGCCCCTGGGCCAGCCTGGGTGACATCTCTGTCCAAAACCTGGAGCTACAGAAATGATGTTCCCTTTCAGGAGCACAATAACACAGCTGTAAGCACACAGAGCACCCTGCCAAGATACACAGGAAGATTACTTATAGCTGTGCCCAACCTTGGGGTGGGTTTCTGTTTCATTTTGAGGAGGTGTTTTTTTTTTGGTGGGCAGCTTTTTATTTCCGTGCCACTGAAATCCATGTTCCACCCCAGCTGATTTGCAATTGTCCCCATATCACCTAGCCCTGAGACAGCAGCTGCAGCACCAGCACAAGTTTCATAGCTGTGACTACATTTCAGCAGGGGATAAAAAGGAAGTAAAACTGAGTAGTGGTGGCTCAGGACACAGTGTCACGAGGCAGAGGGAGAATGTGCAAGAGTAAAAAGGAAGCTCCTTGCCTGTTTCCATCAGTTCCTGCTCTGCTGCACTCATCAACCCCAGGGAAGGGGAAAGGCAGAGAAGCAGATACTCCTCTGCCAGGCCAGTCAGCAGAACTGGTCTTTTAAACTGGACTTTTTTTAAAAGTCCAACAAATGCAGCAGAATGGGAAAAAATGTTGTATTTGGGAGTGTGGAAGGACGAGGAAAAGGGAATGAGTCCTCTCTCTGTTGGGAGCAGCTCATGGTCCCGAGCTGTGGGTGGAATCCAGACACCTCTTACCTGGCTCAGAGCTGCTGCACGATGGGACTCTAAAGCAGCAGACATGATTTCTTTTTAGGCTTCTTCTTTTCCACTGGTGTTTTTCTATTTATCTGTCTGACCAGGTCATAAAAGATCTGAAAATGAAAAACACAAACTGAAAAATCAAAGTGATAAAGCACTATGCAAGTGTCAAAACCAAGGCAGGTTGGCAGGCTGGTCCTCCTTCCTGCTGGCTGCAGCTCTATAAAGTCAATTAACCAGTCTGCATTTACTAAAATATGTTAGATCCTTAAGGATGATCTTATCCCTGGGGTATCCTGAGGGGTGTCTTGCAGAGCTCTGCCACTGCATTCCCACTGCAGGGAAAGGCATCCTCTTCCTTGGTTCTCACCTCCCTAAGTGCTCTTCACTCACTCACTGCCAGGATGCACTGTTCATTTTCCTTTGTCAAACAGATCCAACCTGTTAATAAGTTCACTTTTTGCCTGCTCTAATCTTTGGAGTTTATTAATAAAATCAGCGAGAAGAAGCAGAACATCTGCCCTGCACTCAGATGTTTCCAGAAGGGGATGATTACAGGGGCCTCTTTCAGCTTCAGAGACTAGTTTCTTGTGACTGCTTTTGCTGGGAGTTGTTTTCCCAGCAATACTCAACCCATTTATAGCAAAATGAGCTTTGCAAAAATGCTTGGAGCTGGGTCACAGTATTGAGGAGAAATATTTAAACCTTTGGAAAGCTCCACCCTTGCCCTTGTTTACTTTTTTCCTTCCTGGAGTGGCTGACAGCTCACAAATTCATGTTGGTTCCAAGGAAATTCATAAGACAAATAAACAGTTTATAACAAATTGCAACAACTGGAAATTCAAGGTTTACTAATGCAGAATAGAGGGGGAGGAGAACCTCTCTTGACTGACTAACCACCCCCTTTCTAATGCACCCAAAAAAAAGAAGTTATATCCTTAAGGATGATCTTTTCCCTGGTGCTCCCTGGGCTGAGGGGTGTCTCTGCAGAGCCCTGCCACACCAGCAGCAGAGCATTCCCACTGCAGGGAAAGGCATCCTCTTCCTTGGTTCTCACCTCCCTAAGTGCTCTTCACTCACTCACTGCCAGGATGCACTGTTCATTTTCCTCTTTGTCAAACAGATCCAACCTGTTAATAAGTTCACTTTTTGCCTGCTCTAATCTTTGGAGTTTATTAATAAAATCAGCGAGAAGAAGCAGAACATCTGCCCTGCACTCAGATGTTTCCAGAAGGGGATGATTACAGGGGCCTCTTTCAGCTTCAGAGACTAGTTTCTTGTGACTGCTTTTGCTGGGAGTTGTTTTCCCAGCAATACTCAACCCATTTATAGCAAAATGAGCTTTGCAAAAATGCTTGGAGCTGGGTCACAGTATTGAGGAGAAATATTTAAACCTTTGGAAAGCTCCACCCTTGCCCTTGTTTACTTTTTTCCTTCCTGGAGTGGCTGACAGCTCACAAATTCATGTTGGTTCCAAGGAAATTCATAAGACAAATAAACAGTTTATAACAAATTGCAACAACTGGAAATTCAAGGTTTTCCTGCTATTACCTGCATGGAAAAGCACCAGTGCACAGTTGCACAGTTTCTCATGAAATGAACATGATGGTGGCTTTATCAAGCTCTCATGTAAAATATTTAAAAATAGCATTAGAGCTGCTCGTGCTGCTCCTTTCCTAAGCTCATTGCTACAGCTTCCTGCTCTCAGCCTCGGGCAAGAAGCAGCTCCTGTTCTGCAATGGACACAGCCAAGATGTTCAAAGGTGCACAGATGAGATACACAAAAGTTTCTGTAGGAGAAACCATCTACTACATGGCATCTTCTCTGCTGATATAAAACAGGTTCAGTATTTCAGCCCTGATAAACCAGAGCCAACATGATCTGAATGTGACTGATGGGAGGAGTCTGGAGTTTCTGAAGGCACCAACCATTTCTGCTCTGGCAAATGAGATCCTCGACTGTTTGAAGGTAGATCCTTCTCACCTTCCCAGGGCCAAGGGAGGGGGAAAAAAATCCTAGCAATGGCCTAGAAACAGCCAGGGTGGTACAGGGACATCACAGGGGCACCAGGAAGATGTTGGAAGTGTTGCTACTGAGACTGACTCCCATCTGCATTGCAAGTTTCCTACTTGTATGAAAGGCTTGTTTCTCTCTCAGCAAATGTACACAGAAACTGATTGCACTTTAGGCCAGATTTTAACAAAGTTACAAAGTCCAAAACAAGCTAAAAACCCCGAAGTCCCAGAGTAACACAAACACTTCCCCAGTCTGTGCACCAGCAGAACAAACAAATAACCAGTACAGTAAGGTGCTTGATTCACGGTCTTTCCTCTCTTTGATTTCCTCAGCTTTTCTGCTGCTCAGAACCAGACAAAGTAAATTGGCAGAACACCAGAAAATCAAGATGACAATAAAACCAGAAACTAAACTTCCAGTTTTCTTCTCTATGATCTGAGTCTCACTGGAGGCAGCAGACAGGGCAGGGAAATGGGGAGATGCAGGATTCACACGTTCAGGATGACTGGATGCAAACCAGGGGCTGGCACTTCCCCCAGGACAGTTCAGTGCTCTGCCTGCTAAAAAATCCCCCGTCCTGCACAGCTCCCTGGAGAGCTTTAAGGCACCTTTGGCTAGTGAGAGGTCCTGCCCAAACTGTGGAAATACAAATAAAATGGAGTTAGTTACACCCCACAGTGATCTGCTCCACGACTGAGCCACCAGTTGCTGCATTAACAGCCACAGTTTTACTACAGCTCAGACCCAGACACAAAAAGCAATCCCTGCTGGCAGCAGTCTGGCTCAGCGAGCTATATTTACCAGGTTAGATTAGTGCACACTGCAGCCAGGCTAATCCCAACCACAGAGGCTGCAATTCCCACAGCCTGGAGCTGCCTTCCCCTCCAGCCCGTGCGGAGCTGCGCACGTCCCACCCGCTGCCAAACCAGCCCTGGGCCCAGGCCAAGATCCTGCTGCTCCTGCTTATCTCACTGCCTCCTAAACGGTCCCAGTTATCTGCTGGCACCAAACCAGCTATGCTCGATGGGGTCACCTTAGCTTTTGTGGCTGGAAACCTGGCCTCTGTCACAGGCAGATAATTCACAGCAGAAAAGAAAACCTTGGTGCCTGATGTCAAGCAGGAATGTAAAAAGCAAATACTTCCAGAGACAACAGCCAGCACTACACAACATGACATGGAGCACAATGAGGCACGAGCCACGGTCTGAACAGCAGTTATCTTAAAAAAGAATACTTTCCAGATAAAGTTTATCTAAGCTAACTGGGCCTACTCAGGATCCTCTGCTATTCGTGTCCTCTGACACAGGCTGTAGAAAGCACTTACCTGGAGAAGCCACCCACCCTTTACAGAGAAAAAGGAGCAGATCTTAAACCAAACAGAAAGCAGCAGCTGAACACACTGCACTGCAAGCCTGCCTGAGGCTGATATTTCAGAATCACCCTGAATCTTCCTGATTAAGAAATACATGAAAGACTGCACATGGGCTGAATGTGGCAGTCATGCTGAAGTAGGAGAGAGAAGGGAACAGCTGATAGTTACCTCATTAACGTTGATTTTAGACTTTGCAGATGATTCTAGAAAGGCACAGTTACACCACTGTCTTGCTAAGTTTTGACCCTGTTCCTTGCCAACTACACGTTCTTCCTCCAGGTCACATTTATTGCCAACCAGAATCATTGGAACCTGGAGAGGAGACAAGCAAGAACAAGAGATGTTAACTTACAGCATGGACTGTAATGCTAAGGCTTACAAAGGCACATGAGGAGGGGGAAATACAACATAGACAGGATGAAAAGCAATACAAATCTTAAAGTTTAGCAGAGCTTACAGACTAGACTGGAATTTAGATGCCTGATGGGAAA